CCAAAGGCAAGCCTCTGTTGTGGGAGTTGAAAGTCACACAGAAGCATCTCCCTTTCCTTTCCCTGTAAAGTTCTCGCAGCCATGGGTCTGGAAGGAGAAGCAAGTGAGGCAGGAGCAACAGTGTGGTTCTCACAAACTCTGGCTTAGTTCCCTTATCCCAGAATGCACTGTATCTCCAAGATGCCTCCCTGCTCCCCAGAGCCAAGCCCATCTCAGAGACAGACTTAGCCATAGGACTTTTCTTCCCCCACACCTATTATTTCTTAAAAAGAAGCTTCATTACAAAAGACAAAATTGTGATAGCATTAAGGAATTTTAGAAAAGTATTATCATAGTCCCTCTACTGCCTACAGTATTTTAGCAACAGGACGGAATAGGAAGTGAATCAATAAATCCCACCACCCGGCCCAGCAGTTTCTGCCCTTGCCTTTATTCACTTATTCTATATGGTCACAATCAGGCCAGAAACTATATTCAAAAGATTTAGTATAACTCGTTCTATATTTTGCCACAGTTTCCAACAAAGGAGCTAGGTCGTGATTTGCTAATCCTTTCCCTATGGTTGTTCGCAGCATTTGTCATGAATATGTTGTAAGCACATGTGTGTATATGTGTGTCCTGACTTTATAGAGGTATTGAAGATATAGGGTTGGTTACATGTGAAATGTTTGTTTCAGCTGTCACCTAATTAACACTCAGCTGTAGGCTATTCACTGTTGTAAGTGCTTGACCTCACTTAATCTTCTGGATAACCTGAGACTATTTGTTTCAGATTACCAAATTAACTGGCTCAAACAACTCTTCGTTTTTCACAATCGCACGGTGAGGGATTCTGCTCTTCTTGCACAGTCTTTTGTGGTCGGAGATCTGACACCAGAGCACTGAGAACTTTGCTCAGATTTCTGGCGGCCAGGCAGGATGGGCTGGGCGCCTGGGTCTGCCCTCCACACGGTCCCTTTTCTTGTGGCCCCTCCATGAGTACTTCCAACAAGGTAGCCAGATTTCCTCTCACGGTGGCTCAGGATTTCCAAGAGTGAAAAAGCAAAAGGTACTGAGATTTTTAAGGCTCACAATTGGCATGATATCACTCCCACTGCATGCTGCTTGTAAAAGTGAGTCACAGACCAGGCCGGGTTTTACTGTGTGAGGATGACCACCTGAGGTCCATCGGGGGCCATTTTTTAGAGATGGCCCAATTATTACCCTTATCTTTCATAGAAAGAATCAAAGGTTCAAAGAGGTTAAGTAACTTACTCCAAGTTCCTCTAACTCCAGAGCTTCTGCTCTGAATCTCCTAGGAAAGATATTTAGTAGTAGACAGAATGGTAGGAAAAAATAATGAGTACCTTTATTATTGGCCATACTAATTATTGCCAGTATGTGTCAAAGGAACTGAGTGGTTTTTATTAATATGCCTGGTAGAGTCTGGTATGTCCTAGAATCAAGACTTCCGAGCTGTCAGATTAGCTTCTAGAGCAGTAAATGATGTCTCTCACAGTCTATCATACCTCAGTACTTATTTCCCTTTACCCCTCAACAGGAAAGAACTATTTCATAGCAAAAATGGGGCCCACAAAAGTGCCAAGAAAATACTCACTGTCATCACAGATGGGCAGAAGTACCGAGACCCCCTGAATTACAGCGATGTCATCCCCCAGGCGGAGAAAGCTGGGATTATCCGCTACGCCATCGGGGTAGGGTCTTGTTTTCATTGCTCCCCGAGACTTGGCCTACACTGCAGCTGGGCAAAGTGCGGCTGGGCTTCCCTCCCCTAGCTGCCTTTCTGTTGTAGGTGGGAGATGCTTTCCAGGAGCCTGATGCCAGGCGGGAGCTGAACACAATCGGCTCAATGCCCTCACAGGACCATGTGTTCAAGGTGGGCAACTTTGCAGCCCTTGGCAGCATCCAGAAGAAGCTGCAGGAGAAGATCTTTGCAGTGGAAGTTAAGTGGGAAGCAAGCTTGGCCCTGGAGGTTGAAGCGGTCCCTTCCGGTTGCCTCCTAAATCTTGATGGCCCATCCCAGCTCACCCCAAATGGCTCCAGAACCTGAGCCCCAGCTTCCATTCTCCTCTTTTCTCTGAGTCCTTGGGGTCTTGTAACTTTAGAGAACCTAAGCAATCTGTTTTCCCACAGGAACCCAATCAAAGACAAGCAGCTCCTTTCAGCATGAGATGTCCCAGGAAGGCTTCAGTGCAGTTTTCACAATGGTGAGTGGACAGATGGGTCTCAGGTATTGATTCTGGGCCAGTTCTAGGCTGGCAGCTGGGATCCAGAAGTAAACAAGAAGCAGTTTTCGTTCCAAGTTTACTCTCTGAACTTGGAGAGGCATCTGGCAGTGCAGTGGGTTGGGGACCATGGCAGAGGAGAGACTGGCCAAAGTGCTAGCCCTTGGGGAAGGCTTATTTGAGGGATGCAGATCACTTTTGGCTGTACTAAGTGTTGAGGTAGAGTGAAAAAGAAAGATGGCCAGAGAAAAAAGACAAGAAAAAAAGAAAGATAAGAAAGGGCAAGCCCTAGGTAAGTCTGGGGAAAGATTATTCTAGGTAGAGGGAAAAGCAAGTGCAAAGGTGTTGGAGAGCAAAAACAGAGTTACTGGCCGGGCATGGTGGTGCACCCCTGTAATTCCAGCACTTGAGAGGCTGAGGCAGGAGGATCTCCTCAAATTCAAGACCCTGTCACACAAAGCAAAACAAAACAAAACAAAAGTTACTGACCTAGAGATGAAAAGAACAGCATAGAGATGTCTGGTGCTTCCTAGGCACCAACATCTGAGCAAAGCTCTGTGTTCTGGCCTCAGATCTTGGACCACACCCCACGAGAGACTGTAAGAATAGCACACAGCATAGTGGACAAGGAGCAGAAAAGCAGGGGAGGGCTGAGGAGGTGGGAGAGACTAGATAATATGACCAGAAAGTTGGCGATACAGCAAGGCTTGTCTGAAAGTAGATGTGTGTTTAAAGTATTCATGGGAGGGGAGGAGGGGTGAAGGGAGGGCGGGGACAAGGGGAAAAAATGAGAACCAAGACCTGT